ACTTGGAGTGAAATGATTAAAAAAACACAAAAAATCAAGTCATGATATAATCAAATTCTGAATACTTTAACATTGCAATATTCAATATTCTCCCAATTTTGGGGTAATGGCTATCTATCCTGGTTGACTATTCATACCAAGTTTGATTCTCACGATGCCTTGTACTAAACAAAGCTAAGCTTACCAGAGTACATTTGCCTAGCTTTGGGCTAGGATCAAAATGTAGTATCTGTTTCAATTCATCCCTGCCATATTTCTACTTTGGATCAGTTCAGTGAAATGTAATCTGGGCAGCCTAGTCACACAGATTTCAGCCCTTGTAACATCCCCCCCCCCCACGCCACACTGCATTGTGGAAGCTCAGAGAATTTTAATATACGCAGGACAGTGATTTCAAATCTGACTCATATTTATGCTGACAATAATCTGGCACTGACCATTTTTGTCTACTACCCCATTGTTTAAATGTTGTTCTATCCCAGTGACCAATTCAGTGACATTGTCAAATATCCTTATTTTATGCAATCACCATTAAAATCACTTAGATGTATAACTCACATGACCTAATCATGTACTTTGTTTTCATTGAGCAATGTTTTAACATTGATGCATTACATAAGCTTCACTCCATGCTATATACCAGGCATGGGCAACCTTTTCCAACCAGTGGGTGGCATGAGATATGGCTCATCATAAGGCAGGCTGCACTACAAAAAAGATTCAAGATAATTTTTCATTGAAGGTACTTCAGCCATTTTCAGTACAGATAAACATATGCACATTTTTTTTTTTTTTTTTTGTAGAGGGTTCTTTGGAGAAAAGATTTTTCTATAATAAAAAGTTTTGATAAAATATTAGCACAGATGATTAATACACGCTGCTTTGTGTGATTAATTTCTAATTTATTCATTTGAAAATAGAAAAAACAAAAATAATAATTTTAAATAAAAAATATATTTCTTTTCCAGGGAAAAACAATTATGAACATTTTGTGTTTCTAAAGCAAAAGATATTTGTCTGACCTTCCTTAGTAAAAATCACCAATGGTTTAAAATGATGAAAATGTTATCTTCAAAGAAAGTTTAAAAATTCAAGAAATATTGCACTTAATCATTGTTTATATATGCTGTTATGTATGAGAGAGTGTGTGAGTGAATAAGTGAGAATGAAATGAAACAAACCTAATTTTAAGAAACATTATTTTTCTCATGAAATTAGGAGTGTTATTCAGAAAGCCAAACATGCCACACGTGTCCCTCAGGCCGCAGTTTGCTCATGATTGCTATATATAACGAGAATATATAAATGTTTTGTTTTATTAAAGAAACAAAAATTGTTTCAATTTATGTAATTTCTTTTTTGAATTTTAAATGTTGATAAAAATTTTTTTTCTTCAGTCAGGGATGATTTTTTTTTTTTTTTTTTAACTCATTCCAATTGTTTTTCCTTCCTTTATTTTTATTTTCTTTTTTAGGTCCAGTCACTGTCCTGCAGCACACAGTTTTAGAAAATTATCATCAATTCAATGATCTTAGTCCCTCAGGATTGGCTGCCTTTGTCCTTAATCGTGCCAATGTATTTTATTACAGGTGAGAAACTCAACATTTTACTCTTTGTCACATGATCTTAAAGTTATATTGGGTTTTGTACCTACACACATTTTATGACTGGCATGTCACCTAGTTTGCTTCTTTTTTGTTTGTTTTTAAGCAGTTCATTTTAATTATTAAATATTCATATTTATTCAACATTATTGGCATACTGAAAAACTAAAAACAACTAAAATATATTATGGTTACTATCATAATATCTGTAAAAAATGACAAGATTATTAGTGTATATTTGTTTACATTACTTACAGTTAGACTAATGTCCTCATCTTTGTTACAAGAACTTTTCACTCATTGTGCCTGCCAGTCTTCTTCAGGTGTCTGTCAATCCAGATAACCTTCAATGAATTTTGAATCTCAACCTTTTATTCAATCTATAGCTTAGATTGTTCTCATTTTGCTGTCCATGTCTACAGATCTCTCATCTTGGTTAATCATTCAATTATTACTACATGAGATGAGATATCTACTCCATAAAGGTTTCAGGTAAAGATTTCCTGAAATTTAACCTGTATTGACAGATACCCAAAGAATGCCAGAGGGAACAATTGTGATACTAAGGATACCCATGTAAAAAAGAAAGTGGTTGTATTATCACAATCTCAGGGGATTTTGTTTGATAGCCAATACATTGTCCCTTTTAAAGCCTGGTCTTCAAAGCACCATTCTCCTTAGCTTAAAGAAACAGGGAAGTAAAGGAGTGTATAATGGGGGTTTTTGAGGCCCAAGTGGGAACAAACTGAGATGTGACCATTTCCAGGTGTTGGTCTATATTAACTGTCATGCTTGGAATCAGAAAACAAGTCTGGTCTGCCGTTGGTGGGAGATGGACTTGTCTGGTGCATGGTATCAATGCCATCCATTCAAATTGACAGCCACATGTCAAGATGTGTAGATGGGCATGGAGCTGGTAAGGAGAAGAGCTGATCTATGAGATCAACACAGCAGAAGTTGTCCCAAGGATCATCTACTTACCCACCCAGATAAATAAAAAAAAGCACTGAATAAAAACACTAAATTAGGTACCTCTAAAAATGTGCATACCTAAGGTTTAAATGTATTTTTCATAAAGGAAAAATCCTTTTCGAAGCTTTCCTCCCACTTCAATTGAAAGCTAAAGGATTAAATTTTCTAATTTCCAAAAAAAATAATGTGGAGTATTTCAAATAGAAATTTGAATGATCTTTAGTCAATGCTTCCGAAAAACCAATCGAAACAGCCATTTTTTAACTTTTTTTAGAGAAATGTAAACAAACTTATTTTTCGGTTTTGAAAATCCCACTAAAATAAAATATACATTTCTGAAATGTTACTTTCATAAAATTAGCAAATTTAAAGTTAAATTAATCTGTTCTGAAACAAATATCACTTAATTATAGCATAAAATTTTCTAGACAAACATTTCTTGACCTCGGGTTCTTGTTATTTCCATTGATAATTTGATAGCTGAATGTGTTGACAGGTTTAGTACAGTGCACCAAAATTGACATAACGCTTTTTTTTGTTTCTTGTAATAATTTAAAATACTATAAAAATTTCTTACATTATTGAGTTACCACTATCTCTTTCATTATTTAATCACAAAGATAATGATAAATAATTTTATTAATATTACATTAAGTTATTACATTTTTAATTTAATAACTGAGATAATAACTAATAAAATTATTATATTAATAATTAAAATATCTCGCTCAGTTATTGTTTAAATTGATAAATGAGATAATTTTATTAACTCAATTTAATTTTTAATTTAATAACTGAGAGTGAGATAAGATCTTTATATGTCAAGGTTCTTTCCTCAAGGAGGAGACAAGCCTTGAAACACATGACCTTTTAGCCATAATGTCACTTATGAGATATCATACTAAAAAAGAATATAGCATTTTGATGCACAAAAAATATTTTTAATTATAGTAAAAAGTTTTGGTTGCATTATTTGTATTAAGCTTTTAATTTTCGTTTAGTAAATATAGCCTTCACTTAATAACCTACCCGACACTCTGGAAGAATTTTAAAACATTTATTAAAATTAAAGAAAAATAAGAAAACTAAAAGAAAAATGCAAACAATTCTTGTAAAAATTCTTTATTCATCGAAAATCTTTTTTTTTCTTCAGATAATAATGTTCTTAATGTATATTATTTATAAAAGCAATTAAAAGCCTCTCTAATTTGATAATTGGATAGTTTATTGCAGTTTTTATTTTACAATTTGGAGCAGACTTTTAAAAAGTTGGCAGTAGTTGTAAAAAAAATTGATGATTTAATTTCTCCAAGGAGTCCTGCTTATAAGTAATATAAAAGAATTTGTGAATTGTTTGAAATTCTAGAAAATTTCATAAAATTAATTTATGGTGGGGGGGATAACAGATGTAAAAAAAAAAAAAAAAAATTTTTACCAAGATTTTCTTAAAAAAAAAAAAATTTCAAAAATAAATTCATTCATTTTTTAATAAGTCCCAAAAGTTTCATTAAAATCAGACAATTACTTGATTTTTGCAAGAATTTCCAAATTAAAGGTTTTTCCCCCTGAAACTGCTACACTAACATGGCCATTACCACAAGCAGTACAAAGTTAACAAAAAAAAAAAAAAAGAGAGAGAGAGATTTTTTACCCAAATTTAGAACGTGTTAGAAAGAAGGAAAAAATTTTTTTAAATATTTAAAAAATACTTTGTTCTTTCCTCTTATTAATAACATAAACATTTTAACAATAAAACTTTTTAAGTTTGGGGCCTTTTATCATTATGCTATACTGATTTTTTAGCAAATTATTGGTGGTACCTATATTAAATATGGGGAAAAGGGTTTATGTTAGTATTTTTTGATATAGCATTTGTGTTTCATTCTTTTACCTTGTGAGCATTCAACAGGCCCTTTCCCATCTTCCTGTAAATACTAGTAAGATCAAGAATTGAAATGCAACTTTGAGTAATCATTGACGAATCAGTGGAAAGCTTGAGATGGGTTCACATATGTTTACACAATGGCTGAAATGTTATGATCATAACAACATGAGGATATTAGTCCAATTGTAAATAATGAAAACTACTCATTTCAGAAATTCAAAGGGAAAACTTTATTGAATGGATCAGTGTAATCACTACGCAATCTGAATATTTTTTTTCTTTTTTTTGATGAGTGCACACTATACATAGGAATGTAAATGGCTAAAATACTTGACTTTGTATAATTAAGTCAATGCATTAAAAAATCTAGCCTGATTTAATCAGGTTAGAATCTTAAATCTGCTACTCTCAGATCAAGAATATCAGAGTATACTTTTTGTGGGGTGTCCATGTTAAATTTGACTTCATGGATTTTACAAATACTAGAAAGGGTATTGTGAAAAAGGATTCAGCGTTTTATGTTAATGTCTTTGGAAAAGGTATGAAGTTAATCACTCTTCCTTCTATACAACCACCAGTCATATTAACCATATTATTGGTACGGCGCTCTCCCTTCCACCACTCGTCTCGATCGTGTCAGTGGTACGGCGCTCTCCCTTCCACCGTTTGTCTCGATCATGTTAATTAAAATTTTTTTGCTTCAGACATTATTGTCATAACATTATTCATTTAAAAGGTTTTCTAATTAAATAAGTTTAGTTTTAATAGCTATGTATTTTACAATTTATAGCTGATTTTTGACTGTTCTTTGTTTTGACCCAAGAAAATTGATTTAAATTCTTCAGACTCTGCTTATAATCAATAAAAGTTACAACTTGAATTTTTCATAAAATTAAGGGGTTGGGGTAATAGATGTTAAAAATTTCTAAAAATAATTTCATTGATTTGTGAATAAATCCTGAAAGTTTCATTAAAATCCAGCAATTTTTTTTTTTTTTTTTTTTTTTGTAAGAATGTCCAAATCACAATATCTCTTTCTTCCACCCACTATCTCTCGATCGTGTCGGTGTCTGGCCCGCTCTCCTCTCTTTGTCTCGTTTGTCAGTGAGACGGCGCTCTCCTTCTACCGTGTCACCGATCGTGTCAGTGGTGGCGCTCTCCTTCTACCGTTTGTCGATCGTGTCGAGTGTCGGTGCTCCTTCTACCGTTTGTCTCGATGTGTGTCAGTGGTCTCTCTCCTTCTACCGTTTGTCTCGATCGTGTGTCAGTGGTGCGGGCGCTCTCCCTTCTACCGTTTGTCTCGATCGTGTCGGTGGCGCGCTCTCCCTTCTACCGTTTGTTCTCGTGTCAGTTCTCTTTCTACCGTTTGTCTCGATCGTGTCAGTGGTACGGCGCTCTCTCTTCTACCGTTTGTCTCGATCGTGTCAGTGGCGGCGCTCTCTCTTCTACCGTTTGTCTCGATCAGTGTACTCTCTTCTACCGTTTGTCTCGATCGTGTCAGTGTACGGCGCTCTCTCTTCTACCGTTTGTCTCGTCGTGTCCAGTGGCGAGTCTCTTCTACCGTTTGTCTCGTGCAGGCGCTCTCTCTTCTACCGTTTGTCTCGATCGTGTCAGTGGTACGGCGCTCTCTCTTCTACCGTTTGTCGATCGTGTCAGTCAGCACGGCGCTCTCTCTTCACCGCTTGTCCCGATCGTGTCAGTGGCACGGGCGCCCTCTTCTACCGCTTGTCTCGATCGTAGTGGTACGGCGCCCCTCTTCACCGCTTGTCCTCGATCGTGTCAGTGGCACGGCGCTCTCTCTTCTACCGTTTGTCTCGATCGTGTCAGTGGTACGGCGCTCTCTCTTCTACCGTTTGTCTCGATCGTGTCAGTGGTACGGCGCTCTCTCTTCTACCGTTTGTCTCGATCGTGTCAGTGGTACGGCGCTCTCCCTTCCACCGTTCGTCTCGATCGACTCAGTGGTATGGCACAATTTTACTAATTTTTGTTTTTCCTGTTTTGTACAAATCACCCTGGATAACTGAGGTTGTGCAAAAAAAAATAAGGAACTTTTTTTTTTTTTTTTCTTGTAATAATCTGATTGCTTGGTATAAATAGTTTCATCATCATTACATTTTTTTTTTTCTGATGTTCTGAAAATTTTGTTGAACATTAGTATCAGCTTGCAAGGCTTATCTCCAGTGGAAAAAGTCCTTGATGTCTTTATCCTGAACAATGGCCAGAGTCTTCTCACTGTTGGAGGCACTGCCCATTCTGCAAGACATGAAGATGGAACATTCCACATAAAGGTAAAATCATCATTCTTATTCTTGACAAGATAACAAAAGATTTATTAAATCAATAAATTGGTTATTTTCTCTTCTGTATGACAATATTAATATCTTTTAAAAATTCCTGGTCATTTTTCTTCAAAGGCTTATGAGACATATTAAAATATTACATAAAATATAATATGTATTGGTTTCAAATTATACTTGCATATAGCAGGGCTCTCAAGGACACAAAAAGAACCATTTTTTTTTCTAAATCTTGTAATGGATTAGTAAATAAAATTTTACCTATTTGCATTTGTTAAGTAAAAGAGAAATAAAGTGTATAGTAAAATAAGTGACAGGCAGAAGTTGACTACTGATCACATGTCATAGAACAACACAATACAACAAATCTTTTCACCCCAAGCAAGGCAATAAAGCCATTAAGACACAATAGGTTACTGAGTTTGAAAGAATATGAATAAAAGAAAACATTATTAAAGGAAGAGAACAATAAAAAACAGGAATTAAGAAAAGAAAAGATAACAATTGACATTGCATTTAAATTTTTGAAGATCAAAGTTGACTGGAAAACAAAACAAATTTAAAATGTTTTACTGTCAATATTCACATTCAGCAATGTGTGTTTTCAGTCATTGATTGCTTCACTTTTCAAGTGGTATTCATAACACTAAATTTGAATGTCAGGTTTTAATATTTGATTGAATTTGATTGACAAGTCACACTACAAGTGCTACTAGTACCAAGTAACCTAGTACAACTGTCACATGGTTGGGGTATCAATGATTAAACCAGTCCCCCTCCCTCCAGCAGACTTTTATCTTAAGGAGGGTGGCAGAATTATAAACAAAACTTGTCAAAGTATGGATGAATCCTTCTTATAGGAGTCAACAGTCATCACGCATGACTGAGTAGACAGGGCTCCATAGCCAGTATAGTGATCACGCAGCATCACTAGGTGGAGGTCTTCAGAGACTGAAGTCAACAACCAGAGTAGAGGGCTCCCCACCTCCCAATGGAATCAATAGCCTGGTGTCCATGACTAAAGTAAGTTTTCAAGTCAAGTGATTTATAGTTATAAACATAAGCATAACAGGTATTGATGCAAACAATGGATCCAGAAGGCCATTAAGACAGAAATCTGTATTAGTTTTTCTTATTTTGTAAGAAGTGATAGTGTTTGGCCACAACAAAAATGCTCTGCTATGTCTCTTCTTTTTGGGTGAGGCTTATGTATCCCCCATGGATACCATATATTTAAAAACTTACATGTTAAAATATCATTATCATCATAATACTTACTAACAAGAAGAATTTAACAAAATATGACATCATTTTTTATAACAAAGTAAAGTATATTTCTAAAGATTTACATATTAAAAACTAAATTATCAAATTGATTTCTCTTTCTTGTGCAGTTTCTGAGTATTTTTATTTATTTATTCACTTTTTTATTTTTATGGCATCAATTTTTACTATTTAACTGTCTTATTTTTCTTTATAATATTTCATTGTTTGAATTATTCATTTAGGGTTTTGTTCCAACTCATCCACCTGAGATGCTAGATTATCTAACAAAAGGTACATTGAAAATAAAAATAAAGACCACTCTCTTCAAAGACAGTGGCATCACAGGCAACATTCCAAAATTGAGAAGAACTGTTTGCAGTAAACCTGAGGTAAAATTTTTAAATACAAAATTATTGTCATATTTTTATAAGCATACATAAAGTATAAATTCTAGCAAATGCTTATTTTTGAAGCTTTTTTAGATGCATGCCATCCATCATGTTCAACCATGTTTTCACCACTGTACTTCTTTAGATACCATATTCTTATGTTCCTTGTTTTCTTTCCCAAGGGTATTTGCACGTAAGTAAATGTAACAAACCTCAATGGAATTCAGTCTCTGTTTTCCAATTTCTTGTTCTGAGTCAAAATACATCAACACTATTAGATGTTCTGAAATGAATAAGGAGAATTTTACTGGGAATATTGCCAATACACATAAGTTTAGTTTGAAATATTGTAGAAGAAAAATATATATTTGTTGAGGACTAAATAAGATACCCACGGTAATACAAATGAACTAGACAAGACACCTTAAAGTGAGTTAGTTGGAGTCAGTCAGAAAGAATTGATGATGTCACATAGAGTAGCCTAAGCAAAACATAATATTATAACCACTAGGAATGAGTTATAACAGTGGGAATGAGGAATCGAAACTCATATGGAGTAGGAAAAAGTAGGTTTAATTTTTTCATTGGCATGCGTAAAAAAGAGAAATAAGAAAAAAACAAGATATTCGTTAAATATGGAAGAATTATTGGTCCAAGTGGTAAAAATACAACAACAACAACAACAATAGTAGTTGTTAGAACTCCAAAATCAACAAAATTTAACTGAAATAATATGGAAGAAAAGGGAAAATTCCCCAAGTTCTTTCACTGAAGTGGTGGCAAATGCCATAGCTGAATTTACATACAATTCAGATGATTAAATTACCTTTTCTGCTTATTTTAGAAGTGTTAGGAATAAAGTGTCACTACCAACACTTGAGTTTGAACATAGATCACCAGAGAGGAAACATATATAGGAAGTCGCATGACATCTAAATGATCATTATTTCTACTCTATCTTCTATTACTATACGGACTGCTATTCTCTAGTCTGTTCACAGTACTATTTTTCTATTCCGATCACTATGTGGTGGTTACTATTCAAGCAAGTATTATTGAGCAAGTACTATTAGTGTGAGTGTTATTCGAAGGCATCTGACACCGGCATTGTTCAATGGCTTACTATAGTTGTATCTGTGATTACAAAGTCTCTACTACAATGAGCATTACAAAAGTGACAACAAGTATTCATCATCATCATAAAAGTGGCAATGAGTGTTTATTAACATCACAAAAGTGGCAACAAGGATTTGTTGAGCTTACACAAGGATTCATTGCCTAAAATCAAGCACCTAGGTCAAATCATTGAAAAAATGGTCAGATCCATTGAGGGCAAGTGCAAATAAGAATCTGCCTCCTCCAACAAATATTACTAGGTTACAAGCATTTCTGGAATTAGCAAACTATTATCAAATTTATATACCTAACATGCAGAATCTAAGAGTTTCACTGAATAATTGGCTTAAAAAAGACATAAAGTGAAACTGGTATGATAAGTATTAGAATGTGTTTGAAGAAATCAAGAAAATACTCATGCCTGACTTATCATTAGCACACTAAAATGCAAAAGCAGAAATTTTATTAGCTTCAAATGCTAGGAACAGTAATTCTACATAAATATGATGGTAGCATGAAAGCTGTCACATGCTTTGTGTTTGCTACTACCAGAAGAAAAACCAACAGCCAGATAAAAAAAAAGGCATTAGCAATAATATTTACAGTGAAAAAATTTCACAAATTTATACATGGAAATAGTTTTTATTTACAGACGGACCACAGGCTTCTATTATCAATTTATGGTTCAAAAAAAGGAATTTCTACGCATATAGCAAATAGATTACAACACCCCAGTATTGTAATCTATTTGCTATATGCATACCATCTTATTAAATTACGATTTCAGGATTGAATACCAACCATTCAAAAAATTAGGAAGTGTTGATGGTTTATCAAGATTGATACCAAAAAGTACTGAACTGTTTGAAGACATTGTTATTGCAGCATTACAAAGTGAAATAGAAATTAAAAATATATTATGCAATGTAGTATGTAAACTACCAGTCACCCTGAAAGAAATAAAAGTAAAAGCAAAACAAAGCATGTATATTTCAAAAATAAAAAATGACTAAAAGAAAGTAAGAAAGATTGCATTCTAAAAATTGTCTATCTAGACTTGAACATTACTCACTATGTGATGGAATACTGATGTTTGCAAGGTATAGCATTCCAGATGCCATGGTCTTAGATAATGGTAAACAATTCACTGTTTACAAATTTTCTTGATTGAACATATTACTACCAAAAAAAACAAGTAATGAAAAAGTGAGCAAAGAAGCATTACAAAAATTCTTGAGAGTATGGCAGATAACGCCAAATCCCAATACACCAACAGGCATGTCACCAGCAGAATTGATGTTAGCAAGAAAAATTAAATCAGTGTTTGACAAGTTGTTACCAGGTCAAAAAGAATAAGAATTGAAAACAAAAAGGACACAAAATTTTTCAAAATTGATTAAAAAGTATTTTTCTGAGTATATAAAAATGGAAAAGAAATGTGGGAAGATGGTGTAATAAGTTCACAAATTGGGAAAATGATATTTACAATAAAAGGAAAAAAATGGGAACACAAAAGACATTGTAATCGGTTAAAGAAAAAGTTTACTGACAAAAGGTTTGCAAGAAAGGAAGAACCTATGCAAGTACTGTATGATACTTTTGAATTCATTGAATGTACAAGGATGATTACCAGAAAAAGGAAACGTATGAAAAAATTAGAGTTAACCCAAAACGAAAGAAATACAAAGTTTAGTACGTGACAAACTCTCCAGAAAGAGGAGGGGGTGAATACTAAGAAATAAAATTTACTAGTGAAAAAAAAATCTCAAAAGTGGGGATGTTATAGAGTAAATAAGACATCCTTAGTAACACAAATGAACTAGGCAAGATACCTTAAATAAAGAATTCAAAGTAGAAGTCTGTTGGAGTCAGTCAGAAGGAATTGATGATGTTACAGCGAGTAGCTGAAGCAAGACAATATTATGACCACTAGGAGTGAGTTAAAATTAATTTGAATAAAATAATAAAAATACAAATGAAATGAAAATGTTCACATATTAGATTTTATCTTTTAAAAATATTTTTTTTAAATAGCTTGTTAAAAAAAACTGTAAAAGTGACTTACAATGAATAATTAAAAAGTTGAGAGGTGTACTTGTAATTAAAAACTTTTTGCAGAGTTTCACCTTCATACGCATAAAAAAAAACAAAAAACAGTGTGTTAAAAAAAATGTTTTTCTTGACACTGCTATATTCCCCCAGCAATATTTATTTTAAAACGTTTTGTTTAGAATTTTAATAACAAAAATCTTAAGCACTATTCAGTTGTTAGATTGTTTATTTACAAGATTCTTGTTACATTTATAAGATTATAAAAATGTCTGAACCAATTACAATGCTATATTTATTTATTAGCATTTTATAAAGAAATAAATATAAAAGACTATAGCTAATTACCAATCAATTTGAATATTCACATTTTTATAATGTTGTAAATATAAAATTAATCCTGTAAAAATAAAATAATTTAACAAATAAATAGTTTGTAACATTTTTGTTGTTATTAAAATTTTAAACCCAGCTTTTTAAAACCATAAACATTGTTGAAAGAATTAAGATAATAATGGTGTCAAGAGAAAAATTATCCTTTTGATATACTTTTTTCTTTTTTTAACAGGTATGTAGGTTAGACATTCCCAAAATTTTAACGTAGTTGACAAATTGAAGGCAAGAAATATTTAGAATTTGAAAAATTTCAGCCAGTCGGCATTTACAATGTTACTAAATAATCATAAATCTTTTCTGTTGGCTTTGCTAGATTGGGCTAGTTTTAAAAGCTCAGCAATACTAAAATTTGAATTTCACTTCTTGCAACAGGGCTACTTTTAAATAATTACTAGCCCATGTTGCAATGGAGATGGAAGGTATGGATTATCATAAAAGAAGCCTCAAGTTGATTGCATTCAATTTGATAATAAAAGTAGCACTAAAAACAAAAATTATCAATGCAATAAGTTTTAAAACGTCAACTAATTGCCAATTCTACCTACCTCCACTCTCTCAGCAATGTTTGTTGTTTTAAAAAGCAATGATTAGAATTTTAATAAAACCAAAATATATGAAAATGAATTTATACATTTTCTTTTTTCTTTGAGAATTTACAACAAAAATATTAAATACTATTTATTTATTAGATTGTTTATTTACAAAAATTATTTTATATTTACAAGATTCTTAAAATGCAAATCAACTTGTTTTCCTGAAATGGTAAATAATAAATAAATAAAAATAAATATTGCATTGTAGATGGTTTGATAATTATTTATTTTTTATTTTAATTTTTGAATAAAAAGATTTATTTTCATATTTATTTCTTTATAAAATGGTAAATAATAAATCTTTTTAAAAGTTAAATAATTTTTTATAAACTTGTAAATAAACATTGCCAAGGAAGGGAACATAGTTAAAATAACAGCGGTGTCAATGGAAAAACTCTCCTTTCGAAACATCATATTTTGCAGGCACAAAGGTCCATCTTTGCCATTTTTTTTTTCTTGGTTTTGAATTTTCTCACCACCAGTTTTAATACCACAGTGTATAATAATCATGCTGATGAGATTTAGATGAAGGTGTTAATGATATTTTTAAGGTAATTTACTCACTCAAATTTATTTCGCTTTTCAGTTTTCTGTATTCTTCATAAGCTTACTGAGAGATTTTATTAAGTTATACCATAATTTCTGTTTTTATTATTGATCCAATTTGTTCTTTTCGCTATGAGTATGTAGAACCCTAAGACTAAGCTTGCAGACTTTCTCCCTCTTTCTTAAGTATACTGCAATGTGTTTAACATCTTTGCTAATTCCTAAGTATTTTACCATCAATTGTTTTCTACTAATAACTTCATCAAAGTCTGATGAATATTTTGGGCTGGGTTCATCTTCCAGTGATGTTTCTCCAGAACAAAACTTTGCAATCCAATTTTGTACTTGCTGATCAATTATGACTCCTTGACCATAAACACTTCATACTTTTCTAGATGTCCTATTCCCTGGCTTGAACTCCCATAACATTGTGATGTAAGTGCACTTTCAATCCTTCCATTTTGTTGGTTCCAATCTTGACAGGGAATGACTGTAAAATATTTTCCCTCCCCCCACTCCCCAATTTATAGGCAGAAGCACACAAATGCATGCTAGGATTTTTTTCCCAGCCAATAAAATAGGCTGGTGCTCGACTTCATATGATTCAGTCCCAATCTGTCTTGTCTTGAAGTCGGAACACTATGTTCACTTATCCGATTTTGCTCTTGCGTGTCAAACCCAATTCTTAGTTTGTGAACTTTTTGCCACATCACTGTTGCTTTACCTTATTACTGTTAATTTACCTTACATATATTATTTGCTTGCTTTATATTATTTTTTGCTCTGTTCTTTTCTTGGTATTGTTTATTACAAATATTTTATCAATTCAGTTTAAGTAGTTCTGAAATTTATTTACATTTAACAATGGCCCCTTATTCTACAATTTAGTCTTTAATCTGCTGTGTATGCTGCTACTGCAATGCAAAAAACTAAGGGATGTTAGTGTTCTCCAAATTTATTCTTAATTGTCACATATGATTAGTAGTTTGGACAATACATTTGTTACTACAATTGGTTGCTAAAAATGGAAATTACTTATGACTAGACCTAATATTAAAAGCACTAAAACAATAACACTTTGTGGTTTTAAAAAAAAAAAATAATAATAATTCTCTAAGTGTACTTCACAATGACAACCAATAATGTTGTTAAGTTAATGCCAGTAATGTTGTTAATTTTTTCTTTTTTCCAGTACATCAAAGTTGGTGGAGAGGTTGGTTGGGAGGCTAACAACACAGCCATTAAGAATTTTTCTATTGTGGCTGGTGACATTCTCTATTTCTCATACAGTGGAGATGATAAAGTAGCTTTATTACAAGACAAGGTAATTACTGTGATATTCTTTTTACATTTCACTATTAAAAAGAATTTAATTTGATTTACAAGCTTAATTAATAAACTATAATCAGTTGTTTACAATTAAATAAACTTTATATAAGCTGAAAAAAACATTAATTCAGATACACTCCTGATCAAAAATTTAAAACCACTTGAAAATTTTTTTAAAAAGACTGCTATTCATGGAAAAATTTTAAACATTTCTTACTTAAGGCTACTAAATTTATAATCTAAAAGGTTATGTAGACAAAAAGTTATAATCCAAACATTTTATTGAGAAAATGACATTTTTATAAAATGAGGCATTTTACACTTGATCAAAATTATAAGACCAGAGACAAAAATTCTAAGAAATTGTACAAAAAGTGTACGAAAACATTCAATAACCAAATTTAATAATGAGATCTACCTTCACTGGTTTTGATGACTTCAAAATATCTTTGGGGCATGCTAGAAATTTGTGTTTCCATTAAGTTACAAGGAATATTGCTCCAGCTTCTGAAGATACCGTCTTGAAGTTTATTTTTTGTGGAATATTGTTTGCCATTTCTATAAACATCTCTTGCCATCCATCCCCAAACATTTTCAATTGGATTCAAGTTCGGTGAGCATGCAGGATGTCTCAAGAGATGGACCCCATTTTCTTGTAGAAAGGTCAAGGTAGCATGGATTGCAGCATTATCCTGTTGGAATAACCATCCATCCCCCATGCAAACAATGACCCTCCGTCACCAATGAGGCTTTTTGTAGCATGCTAATATAACCCGCCGCTGTCTGACGACCTTGCACCACCTGAAGCTCCATCGTCCCTCTGTAAGAAAAGGCACCCCATATCATTAGGGACCTTCCACCACTATGATGTGGGAAAAAAATTTCAGGAGGCATGTTTTTGTTATGCCAATATCATTGGAAGCCATCAGGACCATCAAGATTGAATTTTTTCTCATCAGAAAACAGGACTTTCTTCCACTTCTCAATGTCCCTTGTTTAGTATTTACGACCAAACTTTAAACGGTTCACTTTGTGACATGGAAGCATCCGAGGAATTTGTTTGTGCTTTTTATTTACCATGCCTTTTTGTCATAAGTGTCATCTAGACTGCAATCAGCTTCTGTGGCTGCCTAAATTTGACTAGAAGAAAGTCCACTGGCTTTCACAACAACCTGTTATATTCTCCTACTCAATGCCGGAGAAATCTTTTTGGGTCTACCAGTAGACTTTGCATTTTCATAATTTGCACTGTCCTTTAGAAAGTTGCAAATCACTTTTACTGCGATTTACTTTAGCTGTGATCACCCGCTGGGACAAACCTTGATTATGGAAATTTAGAATTCAAGCACGCTCAACTTTGGTAAGTTTCCTTGCTTTAAGCATAGTGACACCTTTACGCAGTGATTGCTAATCTCTAACTGAACTAAAAGCATTGGAATTACCCTAGATCTAACAATTTATACCCCTGGTCTTATAATTTTGATCAAGTGTAAAACACCTCATTTTATAAAAATGTCCATTTCTGAATAAATTGATCAGATTATAACTTTGTCTACATAACCTTTTAGATTATAGAATTAGTAACCTTAAGTAAGAAAAAGTTTATAATGTATCCATGACAAACAGTCTCTTATAAAAAATTTGTGGTCTTAAATTTTTGATCAAGTGTATTTATGAGATCATTTTGTTTAGTCTGGTACAAGGCCATAGAAATTGGAAGACTGAGTTATATCAATCTTTTGAATAAGGAAGAGTTGTTGGCTTATCTTGAAAATCATCATTTGAAATCCTGGCCTTGAACATTGATTGCTGGCACTATTGGGAAATACAGCCATTGGTTCCAAAACTTGTTCAGGTCTTTAATCTATTTTGTTATTACTACAATGTTTCACTGTAAACCTTTCTCAGGTGTTATATGTGTATAAAGGAGGGTTTTTTGGTTTGTTTTTTTTTGGGGGGGGGGTTCAGATCATCTCTACCAATCTTTTATTTTAGTGCTGAAAACAGAAGAAAAAAATATCAATGTAAAAGACAGAAAGCAGTTGACTCTCTGAAAGTCAAATGCCAGGAAGATAAGCAATTTGTATCTGAAGGTGAAATAAACAAATCTGGTCTGGGTAGAAAAACAGATCAGATTCTACTAATAATGGCCTGTAGAACACTCTTGCTAATTACGACTTTAAGTTTTCATAGCCTTTTGGGTGATGAATTGTTTTCCACCCTACAACCCCTTTCCCATATATAAAACATTACTAGCCTCTCATTACTTTATTGCTATTTTCGTAACAGATGTTTGAATGAATTCCTTTCACAGCTAGGACCCACCATACACTGAGTAGACTCTTCATTCCCTTCATATTTCATAAATCAGGAGGAAGTTCTATTCAAACAGCTTCTTCTCCAGAACTATTACATTGTGGAATGAATTCCCGAGGAGATGCTTCCACAACCCCTACAATTTTAACGTCTTCAAGTTGAGATTCAACCATTAATTATCTTACATATCCTCATAATATGCACTTCTTGCTGCTTCCTTGTATGCCCTTACAGAAACCTCCTTTAATAACTTTCTAACTTGAGTGGCTCCTGGGCCTTGTATTCAGTGAACAATAGTAAACAAAAAAAAAAAAAAACAAAGACAGTCACTTCCCCATGTAATCAGTCTGAGATAGTCTGTCTGTATAAGTGTTAATGCATTGTGCAAGCTTATAAAAATGAAACCTCATTCTAAATGATCAAGTCCTGTGCCACATGTCAATAAATATTAAGATAATTATTTCTAAATTAGCAAAGCACTGATAAAAATTTAAAAAAAATACAAAATGACTAATATTAGATGATCAAAATGTTTAAATGTTAGTTTTTTATTTTAATTGTAAAAAGAATTTTTTCATGCCACCTCATTCTAATTATGTAATATAGTCATGTCTCTTTGTGTATAAATAGGATATAGAATCCAGATAAAGTTTGATAAATTTTGTGGTGAAATGAGACCAAGAAACTGTAACTTACCTGTGGCTAAGAAGCCACAAGTCTCAGCTGCCCAGTTGGAGTGACCATTTGCAATTTAGTTAAAGCGCATCTGTGGTTCTAGCTCTTTTAAAACTTTCTCTTATTTGCATATGTGGTCAAAAATCCTGAATATAAGGTGAGCCACACAGATGAACAAGGGATTATCTACAGGCTTCTTACAACTATCTACTACACATTTGACAAGTTAAAAACTGTTTTATTAACTTGATTATGTGTTTTGATCTTTTTTTAACAGTTCAAGGAGGCCAAAATATTGCTACTCTATTGCAATTTCTATGGCAAATGTTCATACATTCTCCATTCTTTAGTTTTCCTCAGTCCAGACATTTACAGCTGAGACTCACCATGTTAGATTCATGGAGTCAAACCAATCCCCATTCCTTTTGTATTCAAATTGTAAAGAGGAAGTTCCCCTCAGGCAGGTTTTTCCCAAGAACTGCTTCTTTGTACAACAAACTTCCACATGGATGCTTCCTCAAAAACTACAATCTTAACTTCTTCAAGTCATGAGTCAGTTGTAATCTATCCATCATATCCTCAGTGCCAATTTCTTCCTCTTACATTCCTCTCCTGTGGCTCTTAACCATTGTAGTGAGTCAAGATCCATTTTCATAAAGAATTTATATCCAAGAATATTATTAAATGTTATCACATATGTCATATTGAGTGCAATAACTTATGATTTGACTCACTCCATGTGCAACTTTCCTTTGTGTTTAAATGTCTACCTTTATTTTTTTTGTTATTTTTTTGCCTGCTGTTCCTGTGTCAAGTACATAAACACCCCCAACCATTGCACCTCCCCAGCCTATATGTGCTTTTCCTCTCCCTTCAATAGGAACATTTCCAGACTTGCAACTTCCAAGGAGAACAACAGATTGGTCACACATTGCTCACCCATAGCAATAAGAATTCTATCCAACACACATTCAACACCCCAGGAACATTTTTCATTGCCTCACAAATCGCCTGCAACCATACCCCACCTCTTAAATTTATCCTCACTGTTGTGGGTAAGTAACAACCTCCTCCTCCTCCTCCTTCTCACTTCAGATTTCCTTTTGAAACTTCCTCAAGTTTTATAACTCTTTTATTATTTTTCAGTGCTTTTCTAACTCTTTAGTTTCTTCTTTCAGGAACCATTTTGCTGACAGATTCTTTAGTTGCATATCAAACGCAATAATCAAGATTTAAATCATTTTTTTTTTTATTTATTTTTCTTTGACTCTACAAAATTATTTCAAATCAATTATCCAGACTTCTACTTTTTCTTAAAAAAAGTTTTTTAGCAAACCTGAAAAAATGGATTGTCAAAAGGATGTTTTTTGTTTTTTTGTTTTTCTTTTAACACAACTATTATTTCTACTACTTTCTCTCCTCAGCAATATTTACTGTTTTAAAAAGCGATGATTAGAATTGTAATGAAACCTAAAAATATGAAAGTGAGTTTATACATTTTCTTTGTTGAGAATTGACAAAAAAAAAAATTAATAAACATTTTATTTATTTATTAAATTGTTTATTATTTAATATATTATTTATTGAATGGTTGGCAAACATTGGCTAATTGCCAATTGTTTTGAACTTTATAAAATGGTAAATAATAAGGATTTCCTTATAGTTGGTTCACATATTTTAATTATTTATTAAATGTTAATTTATGAATAAAAAATTTTCATATTTATTTCTTTATAAATTGGTAAATGATAAATATTGCATTTAATTAGTTTTAATTGTATTAATTTTTAGAATATTGTAAATATAAAATTATTTTTTTAAATAAAGAATTTAAATAATGTTTATTATTTTTGTCAATTCTCAAGGACAAAGAAAATGTATAAATTAACTTTCAAGTTTTAAGTTTCATTATAATTCTAATCATCACTTAAAAAATAAACATTGCTGAGGAGTGAAGGTAGTTAAAATAATAGCAGTGTCAAGGGAAAAACAGTCCTTTTGACAGTCCTTTTTTTTTTTTAGGTCCAAGTTTTCAATTTTTTTTAATTTTTTTATTTTTTTGCATCTATTCAATGATAGTTAACTCTTCAATTTCATTTAGATTATGAGTGACATTTTCTTATGTAGAATGTTAGTAACACTATAAGTACAATTACTATAAAAAATTTCAACTATTAGAACTTCATCAGACTTGTTTGTTATGTGACTACATATGCGCATGAATGAGAGACACTGGTAATTTTTTTTTTTATGTGTTCTGGGTATATAATCTATCTGATTTCATTTAAATTCTTTTTCTTTCCGTCACTTTTGTTATTAAATATGCCACATTTTGATAACAGAAGATCTGCTAAGAAAGGTGAAATGTTGTAAGAACCTGGATGCTTACAACATTTCATCATTCTTGACAGATCTTCTCTTATCACAATGTAGAATATTTAATAATAAAGGTGATGGAAAGATAGCTAATCTAAATGAAATCAGCTAGATTATAGACCCAAAACACAAAAATAAAATATTCAAATTTAAAATTCCCAACAGCCCTTGTTCATGTGCATGTTTTGTCCCACTGATATAAACAAATTTAGTCTGAAGTCCTAAAGGATGAAATGCATCACATAAAAACTTGTTCTTGATATATAAAAATTTATATTGTTATTCCATAATTTATGGGTTCATTTAATATTTCTTCAGTCAGATTATTCCTTGCTAATGAGAATATATTTTGAATAATTTCTCCTTGTTGCTTTGTTTATCAAACTCAACATAAAACTCATGACTTTTTTCTCTCCCCAGAGGATGCTCCTGCTAACAAGAAATTTTCAAAATCCCAATGTGAGGATTCTGCTTACTTACTATGGCGCAAAGCTGAATTGAATAAATACAAAGGAGTTGATGGTGTTGGTGCCTCACTTGGTGGTGTTGTGGTTGGTCTGCTCATTTTGTCTGTAATTTTGTTATGGGATTGCCATATTAATTCTGAGTCTTTAGGCAGCAATGGTTTTGAGAGGTTCTGACTCACAGATCCCATAACTATCTGCAATTACACACTGCTGCGTTTAACTGGTTACCATTTAGATGCCGTTGGACTGCTCCAAAATAGCCATGATGTCAGTGAGTGATTGATGAAGCCGTCAATTTTGGATGGCTTTTAACTTACTGTTGTCAAAGAACTGTATCTTCAAAATTATTTTTACATTTTAAAGTCAAATGAATTTGCTTTTAAAAAGATCAAAGGGAAATACCTTTTGTATATAAAGTGTTGTTTTCCTCAAAATTCAAACTGTTGGAGATTTCTAAGAGATATATTGTATGTGTTGATATACAAGTTGAATTTTTTTTTTTTTTTTTTAAACATAAAACTTCAAAAAAATAAAGGGGGTCATATCACTCAGACCTTCTGATGGTGCAGCCTTATTTTCAAAGAAGAGAGGCTTAATCAACTTAAATATAAATTAACATCTCAGAATTCTAAAGGTCAACCTATATGCTAGCATTAGTATTTATTCAGTCTATAAATAGTAAGCAATCACCAAATTTAAAGATGCTATCCAAAATTGTCAAAATGTATACATGCACACTCCTAGGAACTGGTTAAACACAAACGAAATGACCAAATCTAGATGTACTGATTCAAAAATAACTTTTTTTTCTGGTTTCCAATGACAATAGTTTCAATGAATTTATTAAAGAAAGTATAAATATAGATATCATCATTTATAACAAAGTTGTTCATTCATATATTCAAAGGGTGATTGTCCTTTAGTTCTTAAACTTATTTCATTGTTGATATAATTTTAATGAAAATAACTTTGATAATTCTGTTCTTTAGCAAAATTTAAAATGTTTTTCTTATGCCTTTTCATTAAAATAGGGAATTATTTTCTTTTTTATTCATATCAAATTGTTAACTACCTCATATTTAAATTTACTTGAACTCTAAGAATTTCTTTAAAGGAATTCAAATCTTTAAACAAATTCTTTGGAGTGGCGTACAAAAAATCCTCATTTTGACCCTCTTGATAACTGCTATTTGTTGGATAAACAATTTTTTTTATCTTTGACATTTTTTATAATCTTGATTATGACAAAATTTGTTTCTTGCAATTCTAGAGAAGAAAATTTAACTCTGAAATTTATATATTCAAATTTAAATTAAGATTTACAAAATTTCTTTCTATTATTGTTAAGATAGAAATACAAAGTAAAAAAACTTATTTACTGTTAATAAAACCATTTATAAAGACTAACTATAATTAGTTTGCATGCATTAACAATTTGTTAAAATGTTTCATATCGATTAGGTTTTATTTTAAACTAAAGTCCAATTAATTTAATTAAATAAATTGAAGTCTTTGATCTCATTATGGAAGTAATTGCATTTTTCAAAAATGTATCATTGGTGCTGTTGCTTATTTCAAATTGCAACCAATTTTTAATACATCCTAAATCTAACAAAAATCAGATTTTTTTTTTTTTTTAAGGGCTTATTGGTTGGAATGAGAAATTTACAACATTGTTTTATATTTACAGAATATTTCATATAATTTCTGCTTTAGCACGGTTGCTTCCAACCTGTTGATACAAATTCCCACATCTTACAACCACATCATGTTGAAACATTGGTCCCTGTACGATCACCAAAGTTAAGCAATGTTGAGCCTGGTCGGTACCTAGATGGGTGACCACTTGGGAAATTGATTTTTTTTTTCCTCTCAAAGGAAATAATTAAACTCATTAAATTAATTTTTGTTTTAAATCTTCATTTTGGAAATTCCTACAGCCTAAGAAATACATTCCAAATTCATTTGAAGACAAAGCTTCAATGTCATTGTCTTTTCAAAATGATAAATTGCAAATAGGTCATTACCAAATAATTCTAACATTGGTTAGAATAAATAACAAAATTTAATTCAATTATATATGCCATAGGCGGTAAGAAATTTATAAATGATGGTCCCTTAAAATTAAATACGTTTCTCAATCACAAAACTCATTACCTTTCTAATACTTGGTTTCTTTTTCATTCCTTAAACCAATACAAAAAATTCATTTTTTTTATTTCAAAACCAAATATGAAATTGATTTTCGTTTGAAACATTTTCTTAATTTAAAAGTAAAAAACATCAAGTTTAGACCTGAATACAGTTTTCTTTTATTGAGTGTAATTTTCTTAATACAACTTTGATTTAACAGCCGTAATTTTTATCTCCTCATCAAAAAATAGAAACTCTCAAAATAGGTTTCACATTGAGAAAACCTACTTTTTTTTTTTTTTTAATTAAAACATTTATTAAATATATTATTAATACTGGCCATTTAATCTGATGTGTGTAAAATAATACGTGAATTTCCACACTCTGGGCTACAGTTGTGAAATTTTTATATGAATTACCTCCCCTGAAGATTCAAATTTGTTAATCATTTGCTCCTTGAAAGAGATAACAAAACTTCGTTTGCTTTTAAGAAAACAGAAGATTATAAATTCAAGTTTTTCTTATTAATCTGTTTGAAAAGTCTGTTTAATTTCAAATTGGACATTCCACTTTTCAAATAAGCCAGATTAATTTTCCTTTTTACAAAATATGCTGACATATACAACAATGGAAATGATTCATCAATGTGCATTTTGTTTTAATTGATTTGATATTAGCCCATGAAATACAAATCAGTTTAGCCAGACTTAACTTCTCTCAAGTAAACTGTTCTTCTTTTTCTCTAAACAGAAATAAACATTGTTTCAGACAATATTTAATTTTTAATATGGAAATTTTCAAAAATGGACAAAAACTTTTAGATGTGCATCTGATTACTTGCCTGTGTTACGAAGACTAAAGAGTTTTTTTTGTTTAAATACTTGAATAAGAAAGAATTTATTGGGGGGGGTGTATTTGAAATATCAATTTTTTTTATCTTACAAAAAATGTTTACTAAACTAATTATTTTCACAGTCTTCAATTAACTTACTTCAGTTGGAGCCCAAAATGAATCCACATCTCTCTCTCTCTCTTTTTATATATATATATATATATATATATATATATATATATTGTTACTATAGCTTTTAACAATCAATTCAATGTTGCAATTTTAAAATTTAAAATTACTTAAACTCATTCATTCCTAAGCCCATATCTGCACTTTTTTTTTTACTTTTGATTTAAGATGAATAGCTTTTGTTTTGACAAGTTATTTGATCAATTCTTAATGAATCCTCTTTGTGTTGCATTTTATTAACTTTATATGCAAGTAAAGGCCATTTATTTAAATTATCAATTCTTTAAAATTATTTTTAATGACTCTTAAGGAATTATGATCAATGTTTAAATATTACCCTGATGCTAAAAAGAATTTCTTTTATATATTTATTCTTATCATGTTTTAACTTTTGGGACTTTAGAAATGAAGAAAGAATAAATCACAGTTTAAACATTCCATGGAGTGTAAAAAAAAAAAATTAACAATAATAATAATTCTGGTTAAACTACAATTGAAATAATAAAATTTTTAATAAAAGAAAAGCAGATTTCATAAAAACTTGTCCATTAAATATCTAGGATGTTAATTTCAATTTAGTCTTATATTCATTATCCCAACAATGGGATGGTGAGCATTAATGTGTTTTCAGAAGAAATCTATAATTAATACCAGAGTTTTATTTCAATTCTTCTAATCAATACTAGATTTTATGGTGGACAATAATAAGTTACTAGTTTTCTTTTCTAGCAAAAGCATTGACAATGCTTTGGAATATTTTGCATTGTGTTGATGAGTTAATATTTAAATGTCATTTACATTTTTTTAAAAATGTCACTTACGCCAAACGTTCTTCTCTGCACAAGCTGAAGCAAATCTTTGAACATAATTATTCAACTTCTCCGCTTTTATTTGTAGGCTGGAAAATGCTTTTCAAAAATGGATACTTATTAACATGATAGCTAACATTAATATCAACCCTCCAACATTTTTTTCATGTTGCATGTTAAAATGGTCTATTCTTTGTGTGTGGAAACAGGACAATCAGCTATTAAACAACTTCCATTTCCATTATTTTAACAGAAGGTTCCATTCCATTAACTAAATACACATATCTGTCATAATAAGAATTGCTGCACTTGTAGATATTGTCAGTGGCGTACTGGGTCTAATAAATATTTGTTGCCAGAAGACAAAGGGGGTCCACCCGTAAATACAATGCTATCATTTAATTTTCATAACCAATAAATCAAATTTTCAAAAGTACACATGCAAAAAAAGGGGCTACAATTAAGATATTTTTTTGTGGAAAAAAAAAGTATATTTCTTAGTAATTATTGTGAATGTACTGTACATATTACTGGCAGTAGATACCAAATGTAAATACAAAATGTTATAATTTAATTTTTTATTTAATTTTAAGTAATTAGTTGATATTTTTAAATACTACACAATTTACACATTAACAGTTCAAAAGCACAATAGAGCATTGCATGTAGTCTACCATATTTTGTGTTCACAAGATGATTGTTTGAATCTAATAATTGCTTCTGCAACCAATTCATCTAACAATTCCTTTCCAATCAATAGCAACATGTCTGATTCCAAATTCTCCACAGAGAGTAAATTTCTTAGCCTTGTTTTTATGATCTTTAGCTTTGAAAATTTCCTTTCACATTGGACTTTAGTAACTAATAGTGTGCAGATAACTTTATAAAGTTCTTATTCCTTTTTATTGCTAAAACCCTTGTCTGTTTTTGTTTATTTATTGCATTTTTATTTGATATAGAAAGCCCACTCCATCAGGGACCCACTTGCCATCAGGCAAGCTGACACACTGGCCAGTCCGCCACTGGATATTGTTCACTTGTAGAATAAGAAAATGGAAAACATGACTACATTTCAAATTCTTGAATTCAAATGAGAGAAAACATCTTATATTCTGAAGAAAAGTATAATCCTATTCAAATATTTTTACAAGTTATTTTCTCAAATCTGTGATACAAATTTTAACTAAATACATGAGAATAAGTTATTAATATGAATGAGAGTATGTTGTTGTCTAAGGTAGGCGCAGTCACACATGAAATAGATACTAATGTTTAAGTAATAAAGAGATCTCACAGCAAGAACATTGTACAATGTTTAACCTTCGTGCCTACAAAAAATGTGTATACCAAAAGAACGGTTATTCTTTTGATACCAATATTACTGAATATACTTTTGACTCTCTTGGCAATTTTTATTTATTTTAAAAAGCAATGATTAGAATTTTAACAAAACTCAAGCACATGAAAATGGATTTATACATTTTCTTTATTCTTGACAACAAAGATATTAAACTCTATTTATTAAATTAAATAAAAAAATTGTTTTCATAGTTATTTATAAAATGGTAAATAATAAATATTGCATTGTAGTTGGTTTACATATTTAGATAATTTTTTATAAATTTTTAAATAAAAATATTTCTTTTCAAATTTATTTCTTTATGAAATAATAAATAAATTTTTATAAATAGTAAATAATAAATATAGGATTATAAAGGTTAAACATTGCCAAACATTGTTTTTAAAATATTGAGAGGAAAATAGGAGAAAATTTGATATACAAAATTGATATCAGTTAGAAAAGGCTGAATAATTAAGATATATTGTCTCTGGTATATTTGTAATTCTTTCTTAACAATTCCTAGGGATCTTCAGTCAATGGGTTTTGGATTAGCTATAGGGAAAATGATAACACAAAACTGTGATTAAAACAACAGGAAGGAATAGCAAAAATTGGATTACATTACCATAAAGTTATAATATCAAAGTTAGCAAATAAATGTAAAAACAAACAAAAATATCAAAGTTTCACTCATCAGCTCAAACAAGCATTCTTTTTTAAATATTATTCACTTCTCAAAATTACCACTTTACAGTAATATAAAACTATTTTTGTTATTCTTTCTCTTTGTTTTAATATGTATGTTTTCAGTGCAATTAAATCCTTTTAAAATATCTAAAGATAAAACTATTCATAAGATCAGACTTCATTGCTACTAATGATTTTAAATTAACATTTTTATTTTTGTTTTTCTCTTTAAATTTTGTTATCCACTCCCCCTCACCCTTTTATTGGTTTAATTAAAGAAAACAAAAAATAAGATTTAATTGTTGCTTGATAGTTTTTTTTTTATTTGTTTACTCCAAGTGCCTTAGAGCTTTATTTTTTTTTTTAATTGATTTAGTAATTACCTAAGTCATTCAATCAGTTTGCAATCTTTTGTACTTGGGGAAAATTAATTTAAAACATTAAAAATAAACAGCAATAGTTAAGTTTTATCTTTGTTTTAAATAGAATTTATTTAAAGGGAGGTTTTCTGCAAAAATATTTCTGGAAGTGACTTTTATAAATAACAACATGGACATTTTATGAATGTCAAATCTATTCAAAGAAGATAACATCTTTCTTGTTCATTAGTAATTGACCAACAACACCAACAATCTTACAATGGATAGCAATGAAACTTACTGAAGCATATTTTTGACAACTGAATGCCCTTCTTGCCACAAAACCCAACAATCTTCATCTATCCAACATAGGTACTAAGGTATTTTGCTTTCCCTCTTTCTACCAATATGGAATTAATCTACTAATTATCATTCTATGTGATTTTTATCTGTTTGCTTAGCAATTTTTTATTCGATGCAATATTCCAACTTGTCAATATAA